GAGTTCCTTCTTTTCAGGACTTTATCTCTCTTATTTTCTCCCCCAATTATCTGCAGGCTTCAATGTGGAAACAGTGGAATATAAGAACATCTGTTTCACAGTGTGGGACGTGGGAGGCCAGGACAAGATTCGGCCTCTGTGGCGGCACTACTTCCAGAACACTCAGGTAGAGTGTGTGGGGGACTCCCCAACCCCCGGGGAAGAGGAGCTAGGACTGCTGAGATGTGGTCCTGGCCTGGGCCTCCAGGCCAGGGAAAAAACCCTTCCTTTCCATAATTGCTCGTCTCCTCATCCTTCAAACTTGCCTTGGTGGTCTTCTGAGCTTTAGCCACCTTAGACTTACTCTGGGAAGCAGGGTTCTGGTGCCACACTGCTGGACTTAGCTCTCATTCAAAGGTCTTTCCCTGGTTCCTTGCACATGTTTTAGATGGACTGCTTCCTTCCTGCAGGCAGAGGCTTTAACCTTTGCAGTGATATTTCTAGTTTATACCAGGATTTCTGTAGAGCCTAAGTGGAAGTTACTAGATGAGAAGGGTTGGCACAGTTCAAGGGAAGAAGAAAAGGTCTGACTTGGGTGTATCCCAGGCAGGGGTAATCACTTCTTCCTTCCTACCCACCCAGGGCCTCATCTTTGTGGTAGACAGTAATGACCGGGAGCGGGTCCAGGAATCTGCCGATGAACTCCAGAAGATGGTGAGTACCCAGACCCCTAGAAACAGAGCTTGGGGATAGAAAGATCTCTGTGATATGATGAGAGTCAGCCACCTTGTAGACATTGGAGGCTGGGAATGTGAGTTTCTCTTTGTGGACACTGACGTGTATCTTGTTCTGTTTTGGACAGGACTGACTTTTGCTGTGAATTCTTATGCTTTTACAGTCTAAGAAGTTGATGGGGAGAGAATTATATGTAGTGGAAAGAAAAGCCATCTCCAACCCATCAAGATTTGGGCATGCACACACACATGCCTGGCATGTTTCTCAAACTGCTGGACCCAGAATTCAAACAGTGGTTGGCCATATGGAATCTGGTTCCCATTGCACTGCACAGGGCTAGCCCAAGGAAAGTTACCTTACATTCTTGGGGTTTTCCTTATTGAAGTTTTGTCAATTTGCCCAGAGAAAGCATTCAAATTAGGAAAAGGCCTTTTCTGGGGCCAGCTAGTGGTGTGGTAGTTAAGGTACTGGATCCTACATGGCTGACTACACAGTTTGAGTCCTAGATCTGGCGTCTTGAAATACACAACTAGATATATATGTGTATGTGCCCAAAGTCCCAAAGGGAAGGAGAAATGGAGGAGAGATTGTGGCTTGGCCATACCCCATGAGGGATGCTTTCTCACTTTCCCTCTCTCTCTCTCTCTGGCAAATTGGCAAAGTACAACTCTGTGTCTTGTGGCCAGCAATGGACTATATGATACTGTATTTTTTCCACAAAGAAGCTAGAAGATTGAAAGGGGGGCTTTCCAACACAGCAAAGAAGAGGGAGCCTGAGCACTACATTTCCACCTCTCTTCTCCCCTCTCAGCTGCAGGAGGATGAGCTGCGGGATGCGGTACTGCTGGTATTTGCCAACAAGCAGGACATGCCTAACGCCATGCCTGTGAGCGAACTGACTGACAAGCTGGGGCTACAGCATTTGCGCAGCCGTACGGTAAGGGTCCTGCTAACCTTGCTCCTAGGGGAGCACAGGCTGGGGCAGGGATATAAAAGCATCTCCTTAGGGCCAGTAGGTAGTGTGTTGGTTAAGGTGCTCGACTCCCACATGGCCAACCATGGTTCAAGTCCCAGACCCAGTGGCATCAAAAGCATACCTTGCATATGTGCATGTGTGCCCAAAATCCAAGAGGAGAATGGAGGAGAAGGGATTATGGTGTGGCCAATCCCCCTTGGGAGGTAATTTCTTACTTTCCTTTTCTATGTCTCTGGCAAGTGTATATACTCTATGGGGGGATGGAGATAATCTTTTTTTTTTTTTTCCCTCTGCCAACTGACCTCTTTCTTTCCTTTCCACAGTGGTATGTCCAAGCAACCTGTGCTACCCAAGGCACAGGCCTGTATGATGGGCTAGACTGGCTGTCCCATGAGCTGTCAAAGCGCTAACCAGCCAGGGGCAGGCCCCTGCTGCCCGGAAGCTCCCGCGTGCATCCCCGGGACGACCAGACTCCCGGACTCCTCAGGCAGTGCCCTTCCCTCCCACTTTCCGACCTACCCCCTGCCCCCCTGCCCCAGACACAGGCCTCTGCTCCTGCTCCTGCCTGCATGTTCTCTCTATTGTTGGAGGCTGGAGCCTCGCTCTCTGGGCACAGAGGGGTCCGCTCTCCTGCCTGCTGGGACCTGTGGAAGGGGCTTCCTGGCCAAGCCCCCCTTTTCCAGAGGAGGAGCAGGGATCTGAGTTTACTTTTGTTTTCTGTGTTTTGGGTGTACCCTTGGGGCCAGGATGGGGGGGACAGTGAGGGCTCCGGGTGGTGCTATGATGTGGCACTGGATATTGAGTAATAAATTTGCTGTGGTTTGTACACAGTGTTGTCTGTAGCTTGGAAGTCGTCTGTGGCTTAGAAGCGGGAGGCTGGGTTGTGGGTGCAAAGAGACAGCATGGTAGACTCCCAAAGCTAAGGCTGCAAAGTCAGTGCCCTACCCAACACACACACGCGTGCACACACATGCACACACACACACACACCCCTATCCCTTCGTTCAGCTCAGCTGCTGCTTCCTTATTTGGGGGCTAGAAATACCATAGGATTTCCAGTGGGAGAACTCTCATTCATTCTCCAGTTCCAAAGAGCCTTTGCTGAGGGTCACAGCAACTACCTTCATGCTTCTATAGACCACATAACTCTACTCTCCATCCTTCTAGCTACTTGGAATAGTGGTTCTTAAGGACTGCTTTGCATGTTAAAATTTGAATGAAGGCAGGCTAGGTGGCATAACAATAATATACCTATCATATGGAGCCAGATCCATACGGAAGACGGTGGATTCAGTACGCTGGTGGACCTGTACGTACCAAGCACACACGCCCAAGATCCTGGCTGCCTAGGAAGGCTGGGGGCAGATCATGATGTGAGACCCTGTTGAGGGAGCTTCTCTTTGTCTTTATCTCTCATGAAAGAGAGAAAAAAAAATCTTAAAAAATAATGGAGAGAAATACATGACAAAAATACAGGTACTGTGTCAGCCCCTTAGCCTGGTGGTTAAGGGAGTTGAGTCCCAAAGAGCTGATCACACACTTGGAATCCCAGCCCCAACAGATTAAAAAACATATGTGCATGCCCCAAAATTCCAGCAGGATGGAGAAATGGAGAAGCAATTACAGCATGATCGTACCCCATTTGGGAGTGCATTCTCCATCTCTGGCTAGCACATGTACCCTCTGGCAACTTAGAAAAAATAACGTTATGAGTATCGAGGCACAGAAAACGTGATTCATCAGGACTAGTGTGGGGCCCAACGGTGACCTTTAAAATTCCCCAGATCGGGAACCAGCAGTTGGTGTAATGGCTATGTCGCTGGACTCCCACGTAGTCGACCGCGGTTCGCGTCTCAGACCCGGTGGCTTAAATCTCACGCCGGGCGCGTGTGCATGCGTGCCCAAGATCCCGAGAGGAGAATGGAGGAGAAGGGATTGCGGCGTGACCATCCCCCCTGGGGGGTGATTTCTCGCTTTCTGTCTCTATGTCTCTGTCTGGCAAGCGCACGCGCCCTATAGCAAAAACCTCTCAAAAAAAAAAAAAAATTCCCCAGATAGGCCAACTAGTGATTAAGGTGCTGAACTCTGCATGGTCAACTGGTCAACTCCACATAATAAGGTTGATCACAGTTCCAGACCAACAGCACAAAAATACCAGGCAAATGTGTGTGTATGTACCCAGGATCCCGAAAGGAAGGAAATGGAGAAGGGATGGTGACATGACCATTCCCCATGGGGATGCTTTCTCACCTTGCTTTTCTCTGGTGAGTGTATGTTCCCTCTGGAAAATTTTAAAAAAAAAATCCTCCCCCCTCCCCGGATGATTCTGGCAATAATAGTCTATTAGCCAATTTTACAAAACACGAGTGAAGCCTAGGGGTTACAGTTCCTCACTGCACACCACTGAGACTCAATACCTGGGAAAATCCAATCTATAGGAAATAGGAGGAGGTGAATGAGGAACCAGAGTGTGGGCTGGTTACCAAGTGTGGCTAACTACCCACCCCTCTTTGGATCTCAGCAAAACTTAGGCAATACCTATCATCACCACCCTCACTTCTTTGTGCCTTTCTCCTTTTCCTTGCAAGTTACCAATTTTTCCAGGTTCTAGACTGGGTTTTCTCCACAAGCTTTTCAGGAAGCAAGTTCCAGAGACAGAGACCCTTTGGAGGAAAAAAGGCTGATGTCCTCAAAGACAGCTCTGGCTGGCAGCCCAGCTAGCTGTCCTGCCCATCAGCAGTACAGCTGGGGACTGAGGTGGGGAGCTTGCCCAGTGCTCTTCCTACCTAGACCATTCTCTCTACCCAAATCCTGAGCCAGCTCTTCCTGATGAACATGAGTCATTCGATCCTCACTGGTTACCTAGCTAGGGTTTTCTCACACTTCCCGCAAAGTAACTTCTGAGGCACTTTGGCCTCATCCTCCCAAGTGCCATACAAGCTGATAGATTTTTTTGAATATTTAAAAAAAAAAAACAAAAAACAAAAAATCTTGAGCTGCAGGGAGCCAAGCAGAACCCACTTCCTAGGGAGGAAAACAGTTGATTTCTACCCTGTTATCAAAATGAGAAACAGGTAAAAAAAGTGAAGGACAAGCCTTAAGTCGCAGGCTAGGTCATGATTCCCAGTCTTAGCTCAGCCTACCTTGGTGCCTAGAGCGGCACGGGGAAGTGTACGCCAGGGGCTCTGGACCCAGCTCCTCTGGACCATGGATTGATGTTGCTGGGCCAGTGCCCTTTCCTTGCTGGGGTGGGATAAGAGGCAACCCTCATAGTCACAATGCTCCCGGGTCACAGAGGCACTGGGCCCAGGTCAGCCTCTGCTTGGGAAGTTCCCTCTGGGGACATCTTCTGGTGGGTACTACGGGCCTTATTCCAGGCCCTATGGCCTGTGGAACCTCACCACTGGGGGGAAGGCTGGGCCAAAGGGAGTCATCAGCTGTGGTGCTGGCCCCATGGATGAGGTGGAGTGGACACACAGACACCCCAAGGCCGAGGACCTAAGGGTCGGGCTCATCAGCTGGGCAGGAACCTACCTGACCTCTGAGCCATATAAAAATACGATCACTGCTACAGCGAAGAGTTTGGGCAAGAGACAGGTAACAAAGCAAACCTGTACAGGAACCAGTTTTCCAAATGACCAAGTTCGCTGTGTGTATGTGGGGGTGGGGGTGGGGGGGCAGCGATGGCCTCATCTCTACTCACTTTCCAGCCTCTGCCATTGCAAGTCAGGACCCTTTTCAAACCAGGCTTTTGCTCACAGTCTCCATTGCTCCACCTTCCCTCTCTCAACCCATTCCACAAATGAAACCTTGCCCTGGCCTTTTTGCCTTGTCCTGCTCTGACTGTTCCCTGCCCTGATCCCAGCACAGCGTGGCTGAGTCATCACAAAGAGGAAAGGCACAGAGCACAGGCAGAATTATGGGTGTCCAGAGAAGCTGGAATAAAAAACTATGGCAAGGCCTGTATTTCTGTTCTGGTTGTGGTTTGAGAACAAAGTACTCTGGAAGCCCTAGCAGAGTGGGTCTTCATTTAGAAACTAACGTATGCCACTCTGAGGTGGATACTGGAGTAAAGCAGGAGCAGAGTCCTCACTCTCATCATAAGGTTGATCACAGCTGAACCAGACAATTGCATCTCAACTGTCTGTGTTCCAGTCTCAGGTGCCCAGAGCCTGCACCTGCCCGTAAGCACTCTTGCTTTTCTCCAGCCATTGAGAGGCAGCCTTTCGGATAGAGGTATTGGCTGAATATGCTGCCCAGAAGTAACGGTGAGGATGAACGAAGTAAGATTTAAAGCATTTATTGGAAAATTAGGTTTTGAAGGATGATATCATAGAAGGGAGAGGGAGGTTTACCTTCTGTTAGCTAGAGAAGATGAGCATCTTGAACTCTGGACCTTGAGAAGCCCTATGACTCCAGTAGTGGAGGGATCCAGAGATCTTTGGATTGTTGTTTGGGAGATAATAGCAAGGAAACACCAAGGCTGACCTAGAGAGGCAGGTGGTTGGTCTCAGTGAAGGTGCTGGAGGGATGCCAGCGTCAGTGGTTGTAGGGCTCCAGTGACAACATTAATTTCCCTCTTCTCCTTCCTGATACCTCCAGACCTGGGAGCTCCTGGTGAGCAATGAGCACGATACACAGGCCGTGGTACGACTAAAGAGCTTGCAGGGCCTTTACCTTCTGTGTGAGGGGGATGGCACTGTGTGCTATGGCCGGCCAAGGACCAGTCACCATGGGTGCTTCCTACTCCGCTTCCACCGGAATGGCAAATGGACCCTCCAGTGTATAATTTCTGGTCGTTATCTGGAGTCTGACGGTGAGGATGTGTTCTGCAACTCCCGGGTCCTCTCAGCTTACCACATGTGGACCCCCAGGCCTGCCCTGCATGTCCACGTGATCCTCTATAGTCCCATCCACCATACCTATGCCCGGGCCGATCCCACCATGGGCCGCATCTGGGTAGACGCAGCAGTTCCCTGCTTGGAGGAATGTGGCTTTCTGTTGCATTTCCAAGAAGGATGCTATCACCTGGAGACCTCTACACACCACTTCTTGTCCCATGTAGACCGGCTGGTCTCCCAACCCTCATCACAGACAGCTTTTCACATGCAAGTGCGGCCTGGAGGGCTCATAGCACTGTGCGATGGAGAAGGAGGCATGTTATATCCACAGGGCATGCATCTGCTCCTGGGCCTGGGCTCTAATCCCTTGAGGGGTGAAGAGTGGTTCATCCTACAGCACTGCCCAACCTGGGTCAGCCTCAGGCCAAAGACTCGAAGATTCATCTCAGTCATCTGTGGCAAGTGCTGGGTCCAACAGAACCATGGAGGGAGGAAGGGCTGGCTGCTGAAAAGAGGAAAATGTTTGGGATCAGCAAGGACTTTTGAGCCTACTAGTTCTGGGGTCCCAAGGAAAAGGGCAGAAGCAGGGATGTGGGCTTTAGGGGAAAGTCACCTGGGTTTTCTCCAGGCTTTATGGTCAATATAGCTTATTAAGGTTGAAAGGGGCAAGTAAAGGAAAGCCCTAGCTATAAAGGATGGAGGAGGGGATGAGAGTGAGTCCAAACTCAGGCTTCTACTGACAAATTCTTCTTCTGTAGATGCTGAGGTGTATGCTGCCTCTGAGCGCTTGACCCCAATGTCCTTGTTCCAGTTTGAATGTGACAGTGAGAACCTCACCTTGCAACTTCGTTCAGCCAATGGTTATTACCTAGCCCAGGTGAGACCTTGGCTTTCTGAGCAAGAGATACCTTATGCCTGAGCTCTCTCTCTAGGCATATTTTCTTCTTCTGCAAGTCAAATTACTAGATGGTGAGGTGAGCTGTTGAGGCCCTTGTCTATACACACTCATTTTTACCCAATAGGACCTCTTAAAAAAACAAAACAAAGGGTCAACAAGTGGCATGGTGGTTAAGGCACTGGACTCCCACTTGGCCAATGAGGTTCGAGTCCCAGACTCACACTGGGACTGGAAATACACCAGATACCTGTGTGTAAATGCCCAAGATCCCAAGAGGAAAATGGAGGAGAAAGGATTGCAGCATGGCCATTCCCTTGGGGGGCGATTTCTCACTTTCTCTCTCTTTGTCTCTCTCTGTGTCTCTGGTGAACTATAGCAAAAACAAACAAACAAACAAACAAACAAACAAAAAAACCAGCAACAACAACAACAAAAAAGAAAAACCCTCTTAAAAAAAGTTTACTGAGGTATTACTTAAATATTAGCTCATTAAGAAAGTCATGACACATTTTTTGCATAGAAAAACATGGAAAATTACATGACTTTTCCAATGACCTAATATATGTAAATTTTATACTACATATATCATGTATAAATTATGTATATAAATATATTATGTATACTACATATGCATAGTGTATGAGAGAAATGCACCCATTTTAAGTGTAAAATTAAGTAAATTTTGACAAATGTTTACACCCATGCAACCATGCCACAACCATACATACCACAAGTTAGAAACTATTTCTACTCCTGCAAAAATTCCCTTTTGCCCCTTTGCAGTTTTTCTCCACCCTGGCCCTTCACCCCCACCACTGCCACTTATCCATGTTCTGTCACTGTGAATTAGATTTGCCCACTTTAGAATTTCATACAAATGGGGTCATATGGTACATATAGTATGTATGCTTCTTTCGCTTAACTCAATTTTGTCTTTGTTTTTCTTTTAATTTGCTATAAAGTGCACACATTCACCTGAGAGAGACAGAGAGAGAGAGAAAGGGAAAGTGAGAAACCACCCCCCAAGAGGGGATGGCCACACCACAATCCCATCTCCTCCATTGTCCTCTCAGGATTGGGCACGCATGCAAACACATTTGTCATGTTTTTAAAGCCTCTGGGTTTGGGGCACAAATTATGCAGTCAGTCATGTGGGATCCAGCTGCCTTAACAACCATGCCACCAGCTGGCCCATTACACAATTTTTTGTTTAATTTGTGATTTTGCATACAGTTCAGTAATTCATTCTTTTTCATTATTGAATAGTATTCTATAATACTATTGTACTGTTGTTTCCAATTTGGGTTAATATAAATGAAGTTGCTATGAATATTTGTGCATAAGTCTTTTTGAGAGCATATACTTTCTTTTATTTTGCGTAAATACCTATGAGTGGAATTACTAAGTTACATGATAGATATGTGTTTAACTTTATAAGAAAATATAAAAGAACTTTCTTTTTTGATTATTTATTTAATTTCACTTATTATTATCATTTTTTAAAAAAATTTACTATAGGACACAGGTGCTCACCAGAGACAGAGAGAAAGTGAGAAAGCAAGCCACCAGATCTGGGACTCAAACAACAGTTGGCCATCTGTGAATCTAGCGCCTTAACCTCTGCGCCACCTGCTGGCCCCTCAAACAGCTTTTTAAAGTGACTACCATTTTGCATTCTGGCCAGGAATGTGTAAGGGTTCTAGTTGCTTCATATCCTCATCAACACTTGGTATAGTCTATCTTTTTCATTTTAGCCACTCTAGTAGGTGTGTAATGGCATCTTATACAGCTTTAATTTGCATTTATCTTATAATTTGTCATTTAAACTTCTTTGTATATGCTTATTGTCCATTCATATATCTTCTCTGTGAGGTTTGTTAATCGGTTGTCTTATTGCCTGTTTGTTAATCGATTGTCTTATTATTAGTTGTAAGAGGTCTTTTTAATTAAAATTTATATGTACTAGTAATGTACACTAAATGTTACACGGTAATATATATGGACTGAATATATATTATCGTTTAACATATTGTAAATGTCTTCTCCCAACCTGAGCCTTGGCTTTTTATTTGCAAGTTTTTAATTCTGACGAAGTCCAATTTGTTTGCATTTTTTTTTTGAGAGGTTTTTTGCTATAGGGTGCGTGCGCTCGCCTGAAAGACAGAGAGAGACAGAGAGATAGAAGGCGAGAAATTACCCCCCAAGGAGGAAGGCCACTCCGCAATCCCTTCTCCTCCATTCTCCTCTTGGGATCTTGGGCACACACGCACATGTGCCTAGAGTGAGTTTAAACCACCGCATCTGGGACTGGAACCACAGTCAGTTACATGGGAGTTCAGCGACACAGCCATTACTCTAACTGCTGGTCCCTTGTTTGCATCTTTAATGGTTAAAAGCAGTAACCGTTTAAACCATGCTTTCTGCTTTTTTTGTCCCAAGAAATCATTGCTTACCGCAAAGTTTCAAAGAATTTCTCTTAGGTTTTGTTTCAGACATTTTATATTTTAACTTTCACTTTTATGTCTATTACCCATTTCAAAATGGTTTTGGAGTGAAGACCAAGGTTAGTTTCTCTCCATATAAAATCCTAGTCTCTTTTTTATGCTGTGCTCTGAAATACACCTCAGACTGAAGTAAGGGGAGTGCGTACCACAATGTGTTTTCCAGAAAGGATCTGAAAGCATCTCTGAGAGATGAAAAAGCTGGAGGGATGGGATGTGGGTTGAGGGCCTAGGAATAAAAAGGTTGGGAAGAAGGGCCAGCAAATGGTGTAGTAGTTACATTGCTGAACTCTCACATGACCTACTGTGGTTCAAGTCCTGGACTAGGTGGCTTGAAAACCACACTGTGCATGTGTGCACGTGTGCCCAAGATCCCAAGAGGAGAATGGAAGGGAAAGGATTGTGGTGGAGCCATCCCTTGAGGAGGTGGTTTCTCACTTTCCCTCTCATTCTCATTCTCTCTCTCTCTCTCTCTTTCTCTCTCTCTCTCTCTTGCGAGTGCACATGCCCTATGACAACCCCCCCCGAAAAAAAAAAAAAACAAAAAAACAGGACAGGAAGAAAGCTGAGACCGCCAGTCTTTATTCATCCCGGTCCTCCATATTCTCTCCAGAGGCGCCACAGGACAGTGATGGCCAACGGGCACCCACTGGAATCTGAAACCTTCTTCCGTATGCACTGGAATTGTGGCAGGATCATCCTACAATCTTCCACTGGGTGTTTCCTGGGCATCGCAGGCAATGGCCTACTGATGGCCAATGCCACCATTCCAGGTGAGTGGACAGTCTTTCTGCCAGATTATTCCAATCCAGGGATGCTTTTAGAGGGAGTTGAAATGGAACTTTTTTAAAAAAGGAGCACTAGAATTGGAGTTAGAAGATTTGGGTCTTACACTTGCTAGATCATTGAATTTTTGTTGTCACTTGAGTAAACCACCTCCAAGCCTCTGGATCTGGGGCAAAAGTTATGCAGTCAGCCATGTAGGATATCTCAACTTTTTTTTTTTTTTTGAGAGTTTTTTGCTATAGGGCGCGTGTGCTCACCAGAAAGACAGAAAGAGACAGAGAGACAGAAAGCAAGAAATCACCCCCCAGGGGGGATGGCCAAGCTGCAATCCCTTCTCCTCCATTCTCCTTTTGGAATCTTGGACATGCACGCACACGTGCCCAGCGTGAGTTTAAACCACTGGGTCCAGGACTCAAACCGCAGTTGATTACATGGGAATCGAGTGACATAGCCATCACGCCAACTGCGGGTCCCAGGAATATCTCAACTTTATTGTCCATAAAAATGCTTTCTCACAGGAGTGTCATGAGGATTAAATAGATTAACATGTCTCAAAAGAAGGAATAATGTTAAATTTTCTTGAGGTCCTCACTGTGTTAGATGCTCTCACAGACACTTCATAAACACCTAGAATAAGACTAGGCACATGGAAAAGGAGGTTCCACACGGCTCTTGTGAACTAGGTATTACAGGGCACAAGAGAAATGAAGACATTTTACTGATAATTGAGCCTTCAGCAAACAAGCTAGCAGCAGAAGAAGCCAGACCTTCAGAAGGAGGTTCCACATGACTCCTGTGAACTAGGTATTGCAGGGCTCAAGAGAAATGAAGACATTCTACTGATAATTGAGCCTCCAGCAAACAAGCTAGCGCGATCACAACAGAAAGGCAAAGAGATTCTAGATCACCTCTTTCTGCTTGCTCCTGAACATTCAGACTGAATTTCAAGAATTTGAAAGAAACACACACAAGAAATCACCGCCAGATCACAAGAAATATGGGAAAACAAGAAAATACCTCTCCTCCAAGGGAAAAGAGTAATTCTTCTTCTTCCACAAGCAGTTCGGTGAAAATCATGGAAATGTCTGATAAGGAATTTAGAGCATTCATAATGTCAAAGCTAACAGAGATGGAAGAGAAGAGAGACAATGATCTGCTAAAGAGAAAGGAGAAAGAAGTTGACAAGTTCCGGGAGATGAGGAAATTCTTGCAAGATCTAAGAGAGGAATTGCACACTTTACAAAAGACTCAAACAGAACTGTTAGAGATGAAGTCTATAATACAGGAAGTCAAAATCTCCCTTGAAAGTATTAAAAGCAGACTAGATCATTCAGAAAATAGAATCTCAGATGTAGAAGAGAAAATGGCT